CTGATTCTCCCCATGCAGAGCTGCTTGTGAGTACCAGGTGCCCAGGCTGCCCCTGCACGCATCTTCCCCGCCTCGTTGGCCAGCGCCTCTCAGGACCTTCCCCTCCAGGTCAGTGACTGGTTGTGAGCCCACCTTCTGTGCCAGCCAGCGAAGGCTGCTCCGACTGGCTGTACCTATGGGGTAAGGGGCACCTATGGGGGACACATCAGGTTGTGATTGGGGATGGTGGACCAGCTACTATCGGAAAGCTAATTTGAAAGTACGAACTTGAACTTAACTTGACTTGACAATAGATCCCAGAGCCTATCACATGCTAGACACTCACTTTCCTATTTAGTCCCGCCCCTAATCCTCCTCCTTCTCTGAACCCCGCCTTCTCCTTCATGACAGAGGGTAACTTCAGAGACTCTGAACATCTCTGTGGGCCCTTCTGAAGACACACTCATCTGCCGGCTATGCTAGTGTGTCTTAGTCAATTGTCCATTGCTGTGAAAAGACACCATGGACATGGCAACTCTTATAAAGGAAAGCATCAGGCTGGCTTACTGTTCAGAGGTTTGGCCCATTGTCATCATGGTGAGAGGCATGGTAGCATGCAGCAGATATGTGCTGGAGCTGAGCTTTACATCCAATACGCAGGCAGCAGGCAGAGAGAGATTGGGACTGACTTGAGCTTCTGAAATCCCAAAGCCCATCCCAGTAACACACTTCCTCCAGCAAGGCCACACCTCCTAATCCCCGTTTAGTAGAGCCACTTCCTGATGACCACACACCCAAATACATGAGTCTTTGGGGGCCATTCCTATTTAAACCACCACATTCCACTCCTTGGCCCCCAAAGGCTTGTAGCCATAGCTTGATTCAAAAACGCATCCAGTCCAACTTCAAAAGTCCCCACAGCCTATCACAGTCTCAACCCAGTTTAAAAGTGCAAAGTTCAAAGACTCTTTGGAGACTCACGGCACTCTCTTACCTGTAATCCCCTGTAAAATCAAAACGAAAAAGCAGATCACATACTTCAAACGTACACAGGTTACACATTGCCCTTCCAGGAGGGAGGAAAGGGGGCATGGTGAGAAAGTGCTGGACCAAAGCAAGAATGAGAGCCACCTGGGCAAGCTCCAAACTCTGCATCTCCATGTGTGATGCTGAAACTCTCCAGATCTCCAGCTTCCTTCTGCTTTGGGGACTGCAGCAGACCTCTTTCTCTTGGGCTGTTTCCGCTCCCTGTTAGCAGCTCTCCTTGGCAGGCATCCCACAGCTCTGGCATCGCCAGCGTCCTCAAGGCAATCCAGGCTTCAGATTCACCACTTCATGAAATGGCCTCTCTGGGCCTCCATGCACCCCTGACACGTGCCTGGCCTTGGTGGCTTCCCATAGCCGTGGAGAGAGATTTCATAACCCCTTTCTTGTATTCTTGGTTCTAAAGCCAGAACCACGTGGCCAAAGCCGCTAAGTTCTGTTGCTTGCTGGGACTGGATCACGGCCCCACTCATTCAATTACATCTGTGTCACCTTTCTGTTTCTGATGGTTTCCTTCACTGCCTAAACCTGGCTGTCCTGGAACTCACTCTGTAGACCAGGCTGGCCTCAAACTCAGAGATCCACCTGCCTCTGCCTCCCAAGTGCTGGGATTAAAGGTGTGTGACACCATGCCCACCCTACACTAATTTTCACAAGTTGGAAGCTTAGTTGGGTGGGGTCTTGCCATGAAGTCACGACTCTCTTTATTCCACTTGGCATCAGGCTTTTCTTTTAATCTGTTTATGTCTTTGAACACAGGATTTAACTTCATTCCACTTCCTGGTGCCCTTTTCTCCTCAATTTCTAAATTTTGTGTTCTGCCTTGCTCAGCTTGCTCCTTTTCATTATACATAAGATTGGCCACTAATAACCATGAAACACAGTCAAAACTGGGCTGTTCTAAATCTCTGCCAACAACATTGATCCAAAACACTTCAATTTTTGCCTTAGGCAGATTTTTCAGACAAGGGCAATAAGCAGCCACACTCTTTGCCAAAGTATCACAAGAACAATCTCTAGGCCACTTATTAATATTCTTTCCCTCTGAAATATCTTGAACTGTCATAATCTACTCAGTACCACTGCCTTCCATGATCCTTCTAGCATTCAACTGCTTTTCTAACCCAAAGTCCCAAAACCCACATTCCACAAACAAGCAGCAAGGCTAGGTCTGTCACAGCAACACCCCACTCCCTGGTAGCAACTTGTCTTAGCCACTGCTCTATTGCTGTGAAGAGACACCACGGCCCTGGCAACTCTTCTAAGGAAAGCATTCAACTGGGGACTGGCTTACAGTTCATGGGTTTAACCCATTGTCGTCATGACAGGAAGCATGCAGGCAGACATGGTGCTTTAGAGTAGCTGAAAGTTCTACATCTGGAGCCACAGGGGGAGGGGAAGAGAGAGGAGAGAGAGAAAGAAAGAGGAGAGAGAGAGAGAGAGAAAGAGAGAGAGAGAGAGAGAGAGAGAGAGAGAGAGAGAGAGAGAGAGAGAGAGAGAGAGAGAGAGAGAGAGAGAGATTGGGGTTGGCTTGGGTTTCTGCGGGAACCCGTGTTTGTGTGGCTTCAGTTGGGTCCATCCAACTTCCCTGTTCATACCTGAGAGGGGGAGTGTGGATTGAGAAATGTCAGGTAAAGGTGCTAAGAAAAAGACAAGAGACAGGATAGAGTCAGGAGGGAAATCCAGTGAATACTGAATGCCCCAAGTTTATTCTTCAACATTCTTAAGTACCCCAACCAAAAGGGGGGCATGGCAGAAGACTTCTATTATCATGTATAAAGAGAAAACAGACTTTCCTCCATTGATTCTCCAAGCATTTGGTAACCACACTTATTATCTGACCTTCAAGGTCAAGAGTAAACACACCTCAGCCCAAATCTGTTGTTTTTTAGATAAGACGTTTGCTACTAAGACCAAAAATCCTACAGTAGTCAAGCCTTAGACCTTTAGGTCTTTTGACTTATTGAACTCTCTGACCTTGAGGTAAGATGAAGCAGAGCCATGTTTATGGGCCCCAGCAGGTTTCTGAAACCCCAAAGCCCACACACTTCCTCCAATAAGGTCATACCTCCTAATCTCTGTCAAGTACAACCAGTCCCTAAGGATCAGGCATTCAAATATATGAACCTATGGGGGCAATTCCTATTCAAACCACCACAGAGTGCTAATAAGAGTTGCAGCAATCAGCTCTTGCTGTGTAACAAATCACCCCAGCATTTAGAAGCTTACAATGGTGGTGTTTATGGCCTCACTGTGTGTGTGTGAGAGAGTGAGTGAGAGAGAGAGAGAGAGAGAGAGCGCATGCATGTGTGTCTATGCACATAATAAATAAAATCAGTGAAATTTCTTCTAAAGAAAATATACTACATGCCAAAAGATATACCACTAAGAAATGATTCTAGGAACTAGGGAGACAGTATAGTTGATAACACGCTTACTGCAAGCATGAGGGCCCGAGTTCTTAGCCAGCACCTGTGTAAAAAACATGGTTGCAAATCCCAGAGTTGGGGAGGTGGAGATAGGAAGAGCCTTGGGGCTCCCTGGCCAGTCAACCTGGCCTCTCTGATGAGCTGCCATCCAGGGAAAAGAGGGTGGGCAGCGCCTGAGGAAAGACTTCTGGAGGCTGACCTGTGGCCTCCACATGTGTGGAAGTCAGAGGACAACTTGTGGGAGTCAGTTCACTTCTTCATCATGTGGCTTCCAGGGACTGAACTCAGGTCATCACGGCTGTTGGCAAGCACCTCTACCAGCTGAGCCATCCTGCTGGCCCGAGTAGGAGAACTTTGAAAAGCTCCAGAGCCTGGCTCCTTTGTGTGTAGTGGTCTTCCCCTCTAAGCAGCAGGAAAGGTGAAGCTGCACCAAGTGCAGGCATGGCTGGGTTGACAATCACACCCCTCAGTTCGCTGATTCATCATCTTCCTTTCACGTCACAAGTTTCTGCCACTGTCTATCAAGGGACTGCTCTCTCTAAATCCTTCTGATGGTGTCTCCCTGCCCAGCGTGCCCTTGATAGCAGCATCCATTTCTTGATTCCTGCTCATCCGGGACTTAAGACAATGGAGGGTTTTCCTACCACACATCCCAGCCTCCTCCTATGTATGCTCACTGCTTGGTCCAGAATCTCCCCATAATATCCTCATTGGTTTGCCCTGGAAACACCCCAATCTTGTTATCAAAATGTGTGTTTGTGAGATACTGCTGTACAGCACATGAAGACAGCATTTCAAATTTTTTTAAAGTCCCAGGTTATTGTGTGTGTGTGTGTGTGTGTGTGTGTGTGTTTTCAGAAGTTCCAAGTTATGGTCCCACAGTTTCTATGGCTACAACAGCTAATATTAAGAAGGTCTCATGTAGAAAAATCCATGTCTAAGAGATGTGATGAGGAGAAAGAATGTGGGCTCACTGAGTGACCAGGAAGAAGTCAGACATGGAACGTCTCCAGAAGCATCTTTCAGGGCCTCAGGTAAGAGGACAGAGTTGGTGTGAGATCCAGTTCCTGCCTGCATTCGAAGAGCTTTTCCCAGGAGCCCCAGCCAAGCACCAGAAGCAGGGGGCCATTCCTCAGGGATGGCGTCATCTTGTCTGAGGGATGGATATTCTAGTTGGCCAGTTTTCTGGCTACTTCTTGAAATTAGTTCAGGAAAACAAACCAAAGCAAAGGTCTGAAAAGTGAGAGGAGGACATAGTGTGCTCAGCACAGGGCCACTGATGGCCATAGTCTGCTGATAGGGGATGCCATTCTGTAAACTGTGAATATATGTTTCTCCTATTGGCTGATGAATAAAGCTGGGTTGGCCAATGGACAGGCAGGATTTAGTCAGGTGGGAAATCCAAATGGGGATGGAGAAAGATGGAGTCAAGGAGACACCATGTAGCTGCTGAGGAAGCAAGATGCCAGGCATCATCAGCAAGCCAAGACCATGTGAAGATACACAGATTAGTAGATATGGGTTAATAATTAAGAGAGAGCTAGCCACTGAGAATCCCGAGTCATCAATTTATAATTAACAGAAGCCTCTGTGTGTTTGTTTGGAACTGAATGAAGGACAGGGCAGGAAAGAAACTTCGTTTACAGTCTGCTTCACAGTGGGTCAGCCCCTGTGGATGTCACATGGACTTCATTTTCAGGGCCAGCTGGAGGAGGGTCCACTTCCAAGTTCTTCCAGGGACAGGGTTCACTTGGTTCTTTGAGGACACTGGGCTCTGGGGCCTGTGCTCCTCATGAACGGCTGGCCAGAGACTGCCTCAGTCCCCTTCATATGACTTCAGCATGGTTCAGCTTCACGCAGAGCAAGCCAGCTGGAGAGAGCCAGGGAAAGTTCCAGTAAGGCAAATGTCATGGATCTAATCATCCTGGAAGTTTCAGGGTTCGAAAGAAGCACTACTTTCGTTGCATCTTTTTGATCAAGAAACAAGTCACTAGGTCCAGTCGTACTCAAGGACTGACCAGTCTGTGAACCGAGGGGTAGGGTTCATGAGAGTCATATCAGAAAATGCACAATTATCAAATGATAATTTTTGTTTTGGGGTGCTGAGGATTGACTTAGAGCCTCATGCATTCTAGGCTAGTGTTCTCCAACTGAGCCTTGGCCCATGCAGCTTAGTCAAAATTAGTAGGGGGTTTTGATTAATTACTTACCAACTTTTCAAGGGGATAAAATTGCTCTGGTTCCTATCGAATTTGAGCACCTTACTGGGTGCCCTTAGACCAGTTACACCCCCCATACACACACACACACAGACAGAGAGACAGAGACAGACAGAGACAGAGAGACAGACAGCTTCAGCCCTCAGGGACCCCTTGGATTGTTAGTTTTGTCAACTTGACACGATCTAGAGGTTCTGGCCTTCGGGCTTGTCTGTGGGAGCTGGTGTTACGTTAACTGATGTGGGAGGACCCAGCCCACTGTGGGCAGCATCATTCCCTGGGCTTGGGTCCTGGACAGTGGAGAAAGTGAGCCAGCCGAGCAGTAAGCACAGGCACGCCCACTTCTCCCTGCTCTTAACTGTGGGTGGGGTGTGAGCAGCTGCTTTCCTGCTAGGATGGACCGAAACGTGGAATTGTGGGCGGAGGGAAACTTCCTTCCCCTGATTGCCTTGTCACAGCTATGGAAAGGAAGCCAGGGCACTCTCCCAGCTCACCTTGCTGCTTCTCGGCTGTCCCTCCCTTCTTTGGAAGACACTGTCAGCCAGGTTTCACCATCCTGGCATTACTACATTTGTAGAAACTTGGGGGACAACTTCATATGTGCTCAAAATAAGGGAATATAAATAAGGAAAAGATTCCTTAGGAGAAAAGGACACAAGTACAAAAACACACACACACACACAGCTGATGCTCTTGGGTCCTGGGTCCCTTTCCAGGATCTCCTGGTCGCTTCCCTCTCCTGCAGTGAACAACCCATGCATAACATGGGCTTGGGGTGAGGCTCGACCAAGCACTCAAGAGTGCCTGGGTTTGATGCTTCCCTCACCCTAAGGCGCCATGTTTTAAGCTGTCTTATGCAGAGGCCCAGAGGCAGCTGAGAAACACCCAGCTCTCATCCAGGCATCCGTGAAGAACTGTGTGGCAGTATTAATGTAGAATCGGGTACCTCTTCTGATGACAAAATCAGAGTGGGGGGCTGAGTCCCACAGCCAGGGCCTCCTGGAGCTGCTGGAAGAGAACAGGAAGAGACGGGAGATTAGGGAAGAGTACGAGAACCCGGTAACGTGGCTGTGTGAGAAAGGCCACGACGAGCCCCGGCGGTGGCCCCGGCTAGCCAGAAGCCATCTGGTGAACCGCAGGTGGTGCTGGGGCTTGGACTGTGCCGAGTGCTGAAAGAGCAGGAACCCTGGTCATGGCTCAGCTGGGTCTCTGGGGCCTCCCTGGTCAGTTATCAGCTGTCACCCTTTATGGAAACTGTCACCTGAAACCACTCAGTGTGTGCCGCTTTGTCTACAGGGCCAAGCACAGAAATTCCAGGCCCCAGGGCCAGAGTCCATGGAGCTGGGCCCCCAACCAGGTAGGACAGGAGGACTACCTGCAGAGACGGGCTTCTTGGGCTAGGGGTGGGGGCACCCTTCCTCATCTCCCTCCATCTTGCCGAGGCCTCCAGATGGAATGGCCTAACTGGCCCAGGGCGCTCTAAAAGCAGAAGGGAACTGCAGGGGAGAACTGAGGCCTCCAGCTGCCAGGCCTGGAAGCTCTGACTTCATGTGGTCCAGGGCTCCAGCTTCTCTGGGTTAAGATGGGGTTGTTGGAGAGCTTGGCAGCCATTCCCAGTCACCCAAAGGATAGAGATGTGAGAATATGGGCCACCGTTGAGGGACCTCAGACCTGAATGAGCCCAGTCCAGATGATTTATGGGCTGAGGGTGGTGGTGGAGAGGGTGTGCATGTATGCTCTGGGTACTGGGGACAAAGATGGCAGCCCGTAAGGGGAAGGGAGTCTTATGCCAGTGTTGTAGAGCCAGGGCAACTCTGGGAAGGCTCTCCAGAGTAGATGGACGTGGCAGGTACACGGGAGAGAGCATCAGGAGCACCAGCTGCCTCAAGCCTCCCAGTGACCAGAGTCGCTCCGGTAGCTCTTTTACATTCTTGGGTTCTAAACCTTACTTGGGGCATTCTGACTCGGAATCTGTACTTTGGAGTGAGTGTGGAAGGCATTGTGATAAAGAGGCCAGAGTTACAAAATTCCGTTCATGATTCTTCCATGCTCATGGTAGTAAACAAAACAGGGCTTACCCTATCCAGATTCTAGGAAGGACAGATGAAGACATCCACCAACCCATCCATTCATTCATCCACCCATCCGTTTGTCCAACTATCCGACCGTCCATCCATCTGCCAATCCATTCATCCATACATCCATCAGTCTATCCATCCATCCATCCATTCATCCCATTTCTTATTGCTCTGAAGAGACTCCATGACCACAGCAAATTTTTAAATTTTATGTGCACTGGTATGAGAGTGTCAGATTCCCCCTGGAACTGGAGTTATAGACAATTATGAGCTGCATGCGGCTGCTGGGAATTGAACCTAGGTCCTCTGGAAGAACAGCCAGTGCTCTTAACTGCCCCATGGTAACTCTTATAAAGGAAAACATTAATTGGTGTAGTGTACAGTGTCAGAGGTTTAGTCAGTTATCATCATGGCAGCATGCAGGCAGCTGTGGTGCCGGAGAAGGAGCTGAGGGTTCTCCATCTTGATCCTTAGGCAACAGAAAGTGAACTGTGTCAGTGCATAGCTTGAGCATAGGAGAACTCAAAGCTCATCCCCACAGAAACTCATTTCCTCAGACAAAGCCATACTGACTTCAGCAAAACCACCCCATCCTAATTGGCCCCCATAAACTCCCTATGAGTTTATAGGGGGCCAATTACATTTTTTTTGTGTATATACCTTGGAAGTTAGAGGATAACTTTTTTTTTTTTTTTGTTTTTCGAGACAGGGTTTCGATGTGGCTTTGGAGGCTGTCCTGGCACTCGCTCTGTAGACCAGGCTGGCCTCGAACTCACAGATACCCGCCTGCCTCTGCCTCCCGAGTGCTGGGATTAAAGGCGTGTGCCACCAACGCCCGGCCTATGGGGGCCAATTACATTTAAGCTACCATCCTATCCCATCCCATCCAGTCAATTCATCCATCCAGTTCATCCATCCCATCCATCCTTCCATCCTATCCATCCAAAAACTCTGCTCTTAGAGCTCAGGAACTGGGTGGCTCTTTTCCCTCTTGTCACTTCAGAGCCTGGTCGACTGCCAAACACATAGTAGGAAGGACAAATGGACCTCTGCCGAGTCCAAGGACACAGGACACACCAGACCTGAAGTGCTACTAACCCTAGAGCAGAAGATGAGGAGTTATTGTTACTTCATAATGACTCAGCAGATGAAACAACCAGGGGAGCAGGCTGGGGACATGGTATCCCTGAAGCCTGGGTCAGGAAGGGGTGAAGGTGGAGTTCACCCCTGCACTGGCTTTGTCTTCCTAAGGGCAGGTGAAGCTTCAGCTGACCAGGCAGGTTCTGTGTGCAGTGCTGTGTGTAGTGCTGTGTGTTCCGTGTATAGAGTTGTGTGTCTCACCTCTGCTCCTACTCTTACAGTCTCTGTTGTCCCGGGAGGCCCCACTGCCTGGCTGCCCACTGCTTTGGGAAGAACCCAGAGTGGGAGGGAGGGCCGTCTGGCTCAGGATTCAGTTTCTCCCTTTGCCTTTTGTGGGTGATGCAGGCATGGGGACAAGCAGTGGAGTAAGATAGGCAGGAGGAAATGGGGAGGAAGGTGGGGTGAGCCCAGTTTTCTCTGCACCCTCTCTCTGGGAAAGAGGAGACAGTGGTTCTCAACAGGGCAAGAATGTTATAGCAGAGAAGGCTGATGTTTGCACCAGTCCGATCTAAAAACCTGACTGGTGACCTCCCAACAGCAGGGTAGCAGCCAGGGTCTGTGAGGTAGGGAGGACCCTTCTCTCCCTTTCTGTGATGTAGACTGCATCCCTGGAGTGCAGGAACGCTTTTTAAACAGCAAGTTAGAATGCAGCATGAAGTCGGATTTCATTTATACACAAAAATGAAACAGTGTGTTGTAGGCTAGAAGACTCTTCTGGAATACTTAGGGGAAAGCTAACCAAACGTTTCCAGCTGGCTCCTGGGGCTGAGGGTGGGGGCAGGCTGTGGGGGTGGTGGTAGGCTGTGGGCAGGCTGTAGGGGTGGGGGCAGGCTGTGAGGGTGGGGGTAGGCTGTGGGGGTGGGGGCAAGCTGTGGGAGCTGGGGGCAGGCTGTGGAGGCTGGGGGCAGGCTGTGGGGGTTGGGGGCAGGCTGTGGGGGTGGGGGCAGGCTGTGAGGGGCATGAGGACTCAGGCACAGTGGGTCTACTAGAAGACATACCACCAGATCTCTAAGAGAAAACACTCCTGGTTAGCAGTCAGTCAATTGCCTTCTCCCTTACTAAGGACTCAAATGTTCTGGGCACCTTGGGGTATTGTGGAAGGTCTGAGCCCGGCCCCCTACAGGGGCTTCACCTGTGAGACCCTCTCCCCTTATCTAGGAGGAGAAAAGGGGCCATCATGGAACTCACAGTGAGGTAGAAAGGAAAAACTCAGGGCTGTGAGCATGGGCTGTGGACAGTGTCAGGTGTTGAGGAGAGAACTGACCCAACCAACCTGGGGCGGGTGACAGGAGGGTGTGTGTGTGAGTGTGTGTGTGAGTGTGTGTGTGAGTGTGCGTGAGTGTGAGTGTGTGTGAGTGTGTGTGAGTGTGTGTGAGTGTGTGAGTGTGAGTGTGTGAGTGTGAGTGTGGGTGTGTGTGAGTGTGTGTGAGTGTGTGTGTACTTGAAGGTTGAAGGAAGGGTCTGATTTGACTTTCAAGAAAGGGGGGTGGTGGGTGGTAGAAAGATGGGCCAGCAGTTAAGAGAGCCATAGCTGCTCATCTGGAAGATCCAGGCTGGATTCCCAGCACTCATATGGCGGCTCACAACCGTCTGTGGCTCCAGCACCTGGGAATCCAAAACCATTCTTCTGGCCTCCGTGGGCACTGCATGCGTAGACACATGTACATGTAGGCAAAACACCATATGCATTGAAAGAAAGACTAAACATTTTTAAAAAGGGACTTCCCCAACAGGTAGTGGTCCAGCCTGCGGGAGGCTGAGAGATGGGATGTTCCGGGGTGTGCAGGGAGGAGTCAACAGCCCCTTGTCGGAGCCAGGAATGATAAGAGTAGAGTCCACAGGATGAGGCTGGCAGCAGGAGCTTTGGAGTGATGCAAGTGGGAGAGGAGCCATTGGTGTCCCTGAGATCCTGGGAGGAGGCTGGGAGGGAAGGCAGAAGAGGTGGGGACGGAGAGCAAAGACCAAGGCTCATACCCCACTTTAGCACTTTGCAGACCTGAAATTCGGCCAGTCCGAGAGTCACCTCTGCCACCCCTATGCCTGTTGGATTCATACAATGTTTTGTTAGGGTTCAAAGTGGGGAGGGCCATGTGGAGATAACCCTGTCCCGCGGAGGTCTGCTCACCGACTTCCCTCTGTGTCTCTCCTTTCGCGCCTTGCTTGGAGCCCTGTATTTCTCCACTCCATGCCCTCGTCTTCTCTGGCTCTCTGGTTTGTGTCACTTTCCCTCCACTGGCCCCTCTGTCACCTTTCCTGCTTCTGCTTTCTTACACTGATCCTGTGCTTCCTGTCTATCTCCTGTCCTCTTTCTCCCTGCTCAGGTACAACCACTTTGACAAGGACCCAACTGAACAACAAGGAGGGCCAGCAGGACATGGACTCCAGGAGGGCTGCCCATAGCAACTTGGACAGCTCCAAATTCAAGCACCACCCAGGGCTCTCTGAGAGCCCTCGAGGCAACCGCCTGGGCCAGGACCACCTGGAGTTCCCGCTGCCACCACCGACTCCTGCCAGCAGGACTTCTCTGGCCATGGGCTCACAGTCTGAGGACCTGAAGAAGGGGGTATCTAGACCCAGCTCGAGAGAAGCCAGGGAGACCCCGGAGCAGACAGTGTCTCTGAGCCAGAAGGACAGTGTCATTCCTGAAAACATCCGCCACAAGTTTGGGAGCAAGGTGGTGGACCATCTGATCTCCGAGGAACAGGTGACTAAGCAGAGAGGAGGGAGACTGAGTGGAAGAGGGTTGTCTTGGAGACTTAATGAGGGTTCAAAACCCATTCCTGGAAATCATCCCTATACCGTTAGAAAGTGGCGGTTACTAAGACCTGCTACGCATTAGGCACCGTGGGCTGTCCCTCAAGCCTTTGTGAGAGACAGCTACGAGGAAAGAGGTACTGCCTCCATTTCACATGAAGTCCAAGGCAAGAGGGGCCAAGCAGGTTAGCCACACCCACCCAGCCATGTGGAATAAGGATCTAGAGCCCTGACTGCAGTTACAAGTCTGTTGTTTGCATCAGTCCTCCCAGCCGGAGCACATCTCCTAAAGGAGCACTCACTGGGTGTCAGAGACCCGGGTTTGGGATGTGACTCTATTTCAGCAGTGGCTCCCCTCACCCCAAGGCCAGGTGACTCTCATTAAATTGCTTTCTGCCTCTGGTCTTCAGTCTCTAAATTTGCAAAATGAAGCACCCAAACCATTCAGGCTGATAAATCCATGGTACAAGTCTAGCCCTATTCATGGCAGACATGACCAATCAATCCTGGCACTCTTTCTCACCTGCTGTATTCTTCTACACAGCTATTACTTATCATTTGGAAAGCGAGACTAGAATCACCAGACTAGAATCACCAGACTAGAATCACCAGACTAGAATCACCAGACTAGAATCACCAGACTAGAATCACCAGACTAGAATCACCAGACTAGAATCACCAGACTAGAATCACCAGACTAGAATCACCAGACTAGAATCACCAGACTAGAATCACCAGACTAGAATCACCAGACTAGAATCACCAGACTAGAATCACCAGACTAGAATCACCAGACTAGAATCACCTGCCGTTTTTAGCCACAAGATAAACTCCCCTCATACTCTGATATTCTGAGGCATACTTTAAGGCCACGATTTCTTTTTTTTAAAATAATTTATTCAACTTTATTTTATGTGTATTGGTGTGAAGGTGTCA